CTGAATTGTTCTTGCGTTGTTGGCAAAAGTTAAGAGCGTTCAAGTACTTGCTTTCCAGCCGGATCCCATAAAATGCAACACGATGCGGGTTGCATGTACAATACAACGGTTCCGGAACTCAACTCTCGATCACGTTGAGCATTTGTGGTTGCAAGTTGAGTCGCCAGAGGAGCCCAAGGGGCATGCGAATTTAGTCTCGGCTTGGCAGCGTGCGCGTCCAACGGCAGTCTGCCGTCATGGCGGCAGAGCCATCTCTTTCTTTCTGAGTGAAGCGACCCGTTTGGTGCTCGTGACGCTGGCATACTTTGATGGGAAACACCTTCAAGGTGAACCAGAGCGGGATCCCAAGTTGACCTCAAGGCGATTGAGACTAGCGTATTGAGGCGCTGCGAGCGCCGGAGCTGTGGCACTTGCCAATATTCGACGGCATTCCTCTGAGCCACGTGGGCTCTCCAGCGAAGGCGGCACCACGCCGCCTTGGCTTGGGCTGGTCGAGCGGGCTGGCGGGGACACTGGGCTTGTGGCACATGGCTGTGGGCTCCCCGCTGTTGAACGCGCAATGTTTCTGGCTGGGTGGAGGGTCGAGTACTGTGCAATGTACATCGGTCCCATACGGGCGACCTGCCCCATTGCAGACTGCGGATACCCGCACACACCACACAAGGCCTCCCCCAATTGGAAGAATTTAACAAACCCAGATGCGGCCTCTTCGCATTGCTCAGGAACAGTGAAGATGTGGGCGTGCGTACGGCATCATAGCTGTATGGGCACACAACTTGCAGCTTTGCTCAGAATGTCCACCTGATATGGAAAAGGCAAAAAAGCAGAGATGTAGGCTGTGCCCCATTGGGGTTCTCCAGTTCATTCCACATGACCAGCTTCCCAGTGGCCTGGGAACATGATCTTGCTATCGCCCCTTAAATTTACGCTTGTTATTTGCGTTTGCGTTCTTCCGCCCCTTCGAGCACCTGCGACACAGCGTCCACCTTACCCTTGGCGACAACAGCGTGAACAAAGTTCATTTTCTGTCCATTATAGCGCGTGTGCATGCCGCTCTCCGACCTCTGTATGTCTGTATGTACTGTCGTTATGGGCGCGGGGATGCATTTATGTGTTTTTACTCCTGTTTACGCGCAACAGCACAAAAAACCACTTTTGCAAACAAAAACGTAAAAAACGGTTGAATCTTTATAAAGATACGCATTTTTCTCGTATATTTACAAAATGTGCGTATTTCTAGACGTACTTTGGAACAACTACACTAAATTTCCATCAATTCAGCGTATAATGGATTCGAGCTGCGACTTGCATCCCATGCAGCTGCGACCGCCGCATGACGAGGGAACCGGGCGTGTCGGGGATGCGAGAAGGAATTAGTCGCGATGCCAAAAGTCCCTACGCTGAGAACTGCTTCACAGATGCGACAGCCCAGCGCGTTAAGTGCGCCCACTGCGGCATTGTCGTGACTGGTGGCGATGAACGATCGAGTTGCCATTTGGCCGGCACCACTGGGTCTGGGTTTGCTGTGTGCTGTGGGAATGTGTTGGGCGCTGTGAGGGAGGAGATGGTACGCTTGAAAGAACACCTTATCGAAAGGAAACGGCGCAGCGAAGTCACAAAAGCGATCAGAAGCAGCAATCCATCTGCCCAGCTATCATACAATGGATCAGCCAATAAATGCCAATGAGATGCCTGCAGCTCTTGAGGCATGTGCGGTACAGACATGGATCCCAGCGATGTGCGCGCCCAGAAATAAGACCATCGCGTTGGCTGCATGGGCAGATTCGCTCTATCACGCAAACATTATGGTATGTTGCGAAGAATTCAGCTGCAAGCGTGCAGTGCAGCCCGCGCATATGTGGATGTATCACTGGTAGAAAACCGATGTTTGCGATACCAACTGCGATGCCATTTGGATAAATAATGATGCCATCAAAGTGATTGTGATGGCATAAAAAAGCGGCTTTGATGGCATCAATTTGCGTCAAAATAGCATCCCAAGCATGCTGTTTTCTACTAGTGTATTGGTCATGGATATGCAGGGTGGACATCTTTTGAGAACTCGTTCGACCTGCAGGTGACCCAGGTGTCCAATGCTGTAATGATGGACAAAGCCTTAAGCAATGGAGTGGCCTTTAGTGTCGTTGGATGGAGTCATGAATGGGTCCGACATGGATGCTGATTGATTAAATTTGCGTATCACCGACGTCGCTATTGCAGAAATTTTGCAGTAATTTGAACGAATTTTTGGGCCCAATTAGAACGAGTGACAATATGCGCATTTTCCTGTATTATCATTGTAAGCCATGTCCATCTTTCCCAGCCTGTCGTAAACACGATCAGATCTCATAGCGTAAATAACAGCCCTGCTTACGTTGGATAATATGGCGCAACAGCATTCCGAGGTTATCATCTAAGATCGGTGTAGTTCACCAAGCGCCCTCACACCATCTGTTGGCCTTGCAGGCAGCGTTTTTCAATGCCACCGACCCATTTTCTCGCATGTTTTCTTTGTGGAAGGTGTTAAGAATGTATGCAATTACAAGCGGGCTTCATCGAGACTAGCACAGGTGGGCGTGATTTCTGGCACAAGGCAGCACAGTATCTCCATTCAGGTCTCAAGAGTGAGTTCTTTAGAGTCCCAACGGCGAAGAACACGTATGGGCAACCCTGGAGCAACTGCAGTGTTGGCTTCAGTACTGAACGTAGCGCTCCGCCATCAGCCGAGGCAATCGTGGATCGCAAGTGGAGCTAGACAACGTGTCGTACCATCAGTAGTTTGAGATGTTACAGTATGTGTGGCATGCGTACTTGGAGCTTTTGTAGTAGGCGCTGTCCTGGCTGCAGCACTGCGCAAGCAGCCGAGCAAGTCGTGGACAATAATTGAAGCTGTGAGCCGAGAGGACAGATAACTCAACGGTGCAGCATCTGGTTTTTGCTGCGCAGCAACGCAAACTCGAGAATGGTGCGGTAAACGCAAACGCCACACCTGGCCAGAAGAAACCCATGGGCGCTGTTTGCCATCGCCGCTGGGCAGCCACTGATCACCAGATCTGTATCCCTGCAGACCACCTCCGTTGAATGCGCGTCCCTGGTCCAACCGGGGCCTGCGCGGCAGCTGCACTTTCCGTGGATAGCCATACAATTTCAGAGCAATTGTGGCACAGTTTGGCTTGCATTGGCGTGCAACCATTGCGCTTTCCCCTTTGGAGGTGCATTTTGAACATGAACTGCACCTCGCCCTCCCCATGCCTCTCAAAGTCTAGTCCTGCAAGCGTTTATTCATACTATCTCAGTATCGATAGTCATGGCATTTCTGTTTCTTTTCATCACTTTTCGACATCGACTCACTGAGTCAATTCTTCACCAGTTTTGCATGTCCTTGTTGATCTTAGTTTCATCTGTATGTTGGCTGCATTACTCATCACCATGCAAACCGCTAGTCGCCAACTTGTTGAAACTGTATCTATCCATTTCCACGTAGGTCTTCTTGAATTAGTGCATTGTTGCAGTGGCCTTATTCAGGCAAGTCCCAAACCGTTTCCAAAACGCCAACAAAGGTCCAAGTTTCAAATAACGAATTAGGACTTCACCACTATTTTAGGAGTTTTCCATCATTTCTATCATACTCTTTGTGTATATTCCCTTCTGTTGTGATGAGTTGTGCTTCCAAATTATTTTTCTCGACCACTGGCCTTATTGCATCCATTTAAGCCGGGCCTTTGGCTGGTGTCAGTATGTGCGGCCTTCCAAACCTTGAAGATCTGCAATGCTGATGTACTTGCGCTGATCATGTGTCTCCAAACAAGGCTACCAGACAGCCTTGAGCGACAGTCCGCACTGATACCAGGATTCTAAGTTTCAGACCTTGGCCTTTTCCACTCGACGGAGGTCCGTCCATTGGAAGCCGAGAAGGGCAGCGATTCCGGGCATCGTCAGCGCTGCGACGATTGCCGTCTAAGATCAGGAGAGGCACGTCCGAATGTGTTGGGTAAATGCTACGCCACGTGTTGTATCCCGTACTCTGTCATGACGGAGGCAAACATTGGCGTTGCAAATCGCAGGCAAGGGAGCCGCCCAAACCAGGGGGGTCTGCAAGACCGCGGAAATTGAACGCGCAGTTTCTGGACCGTGTCAAGGCGATTTTGGGCGGTAGTTCACAGGGGTGAGGACTAAATGTTTTTGAAGATAATTCAAAACTGAGTGTTTTGAGACTGAATCTTTCCGGTTATGGCTTCCATTTGTAATTTAGATGCTGTTTTCACAATGAGAATTCTCGGAAGAAGTATACCTAATGGTGGAGCAGGTCGAAAGTATGCGACATCGCTTTGTGGGTCAAATGCACCCCAGTGCTCAACAACTTCTTCAATCAAAGGCCATCAGATAGTCGCTCAGAAATATAGATATCATTAGAACTATAAGGCTACTATTAATCTGCTTTTCTATTAAAATGTCTTTCCACGGAGTGATGCACTGTCTTCTCCCCGTTGAGATGTGGCTGAACCCCGCTTCTCAGTTACGGTGCTCTTTTCCATCAAAAGCCAAACTGAAATTCAAATTGACAAAGAATGTTACAAAATCATGAAAAAGAAGAATCACGGACAGGTGTGTGTCCAAACCTATGTTTGCATAGGTCCATCATTTCAACTCTAAATTTCTTTCTATTGTGTCTGCTAAAGTACTTCTCACCATGCTTCACTTTTCTGTACCACCTATCCATAGGCTGCAATTCACGAGGTGAGAAAAGAATCGATTACAGTTGTATGTCCAATCCCATGCTTGCACAGCTGCACAATTTCAACACTATATTTCTTCCGTTCTGCCTACTAAACTACCCAGATGCAAGTCATGCTCCACCTTCCTCTAGCTCATACTCATGGACAGATAATATTCTATGTAAGAATGAAGGGTGTATGCATCTCAAAAGGTCGTGCATTCCAAGCTAAGCCTCCAACGCTTTTACATTGAGAACAGCAAGCTTCGCATTTCAATACCATTTATCATCCCAAAATTTCCTCTATTGCGCTTATGGTGCCTGACTCGCTGCAGCCCGACGGGGTGCACTGAATAAAGCTAGGCAGCCCAACCGTCTTTAGGCACTGGCAAATGAGCTCAGAGGCGTTCTTGCCTGCAAGTGACAAGATCCCTGGATTAGCACCTCGATCCAACAGGACCTTCATGGTGTCAATGTTCCCATGCCATGCAGTCCACATCAGGGGCGTCAACCCTGCATCATCTTGAACATTGACATCCACCCCTGTATCCAGCAAGGCTGTTGCAATGAGCTGGGACCCCACCACCAACGATAGTGTGGAATAATGAAGTGCAGTTTGACCAAAGACATCAGTGCGGTTGGGGTCAGCCCCCTCATTGAGGAGGAGTCTGACAACTGATGTATGGCTCCCAAATGACGCAGATATCAGTGGTGTTAGGGCAGACAGGCTTTTGCCATTGATGGTTGCCCCAGATTGAAGCAGTTGTCTCACAACTGAGGCATGACCATTGCCTGATGCCAAGGATAGAGCTGATGTGCCATTGTCGCTTCCCACATCAACATCTGCCCCTGCCTGAATGATGACATCCACAAGCCTTGTGTTGCCCAATGCAGCTGCTTCCATCAGCGGTGTGGTGCCATTGGTTGACACATGCCCAGCATCTGCCCCACCCTCAACAAGAGTCCTTGCAGCAACGGGGAATTCAAATCTAACAGCAATGCTGATAGCAGTAAACCCATCCACGTCTTGGTAGTTAGGGTCAGCCCCACCGCCAAGGAGCAGATTTATCATTTCAATGTCGTTTCTGGCAGTTCCAAAGAACAATGCAGTGCTGCCGTCAAAAGTGCCTATGGCGTTGGGGTCCGCAGAATTCATCAACAACTCTGATGCAATGTCTGCATGACCCTTGAACGATGCAACCATCAGTGGAGTGTATCCAGACCCTCTCGCTTCAACCTCTGCCCCCGCTTTGATGGCAGCCTTTGCCAGTTCCAGTTCCCCGTCAAAAACAGCTTGCCACAAGACCTGTGCGGCAAGAGAGCTCTCACTTTGTGCCACAACTGTACCCTTTTAAGGACGGCATGGTGTTGACGCTTCTTGTTGGATGATTTTCTCATCAGTAAATTGCCCTCAACAGCTGAAAAAGCACTAACTCATTCGAGATATTGGGTTGTGCAGAAGCGCAACGAAATCTATTATAATGTGAAGTTACGCCGCTTTCTTGTGAAAACATTTTGTTGGTAATCATGATTCGTTTGGAGCTTTACTTATTACAAGCACGGCACCTAAAGGGATTTACACATGAAAAACGTAAACGTAAAAACGTGAAGCGAGAATGTTTTTCTAATCACAAATAACAAGCCTGCCCTAACAGTATCGTACCACACGCAGAGTTATGCATAAATTCACATCAAGTCAGAATAGACAGCAAACACAACAGTTGCAATTACAGCAGCAATGAAATGATAGGCACGTACCTCATCAGGGCACCCATTCACAGATTTCCCATCTTCTGCAGTGATTGTTGTGCGGCAAGGTGGTCCGGTGGGTAGTGATGGAGATGGAGGAGGTGGAACAAGAGGGGCAGGGGCAGGGGCAGGCGAGGGAGAAGGGGGTGGTGTAGGCGATGGGGTTGAAAGTGGAGGTGGATCAGAAGGGGAGCTGGGAGGTGCCGGGGATGTTGACGATTCCCCTGTGGGAGACCCACCCTGGGGCCATGACATTCATGCCTTGTCATCTCCCAAGCAAGCCGGGTTGAGCAACTTTGGTTTGTGTTGCATTCGTTCCTTCTGCTACTCGTTGGTGCAATCCGGAAGCTTAGGAGCACGTCGCATCTCCCAAAGTGCAATACAATGATGTAGAAGTTTCACCACAGTTACATCAATGCCATATCATTGGCACAATAATTGCCAATAATAGATTATCCATAAAAACACCAAAGCATATCAATTGCTGACCAACTATCATTAGTAAGAAAATTGGCTGGAAGTACTTGCCTGTGAGTGAATTGACCACCAGATCACCTGTGACAGGTGACCTGTCCACACTACAACTACAGCATACCTGGGGTCCGTCAATGTCACGTGTTCATGTTAGTAGAAGCACAACCAACATGATTGCAAAGCAATATGACAATGATGCAATTACATCTCTTTCTACTTGGGAAGGAATTGAAGTGCGGGTCGCAATCCATATTGTAATGATATTCTGTTGCAATATCAAAGAAACTGCTGCATTCTCAAATACATTGATGCAATTTCGACCGTGTGTACTAAATGTGTGGTTTTTAGGCCAAATTTGCCGATGTGGGAGATACGGTGGCTGGTTGAACTGGTGACTGCACATCCACAGCCTGTAGTACCGTTGTGCATTACTGGGCAGACTGACATCCCAAAGAACAAGCCCACCTGATGAACCCCAGCACTGCTGTGCACCTATGTGCATGCTGCTTGCCAGGCGCCATTTCTGGATATTTTCCAACAATAGATTTCACAAACCTGTGCTGCAAAGCTATTGCTTTGTTGCCCAGGTCCCACTGCCAAACAAGAATTGGCCGCTGAGCAAGTGTGGTCTTCCAACTCGATATTGGGCTAGTCCTAGGCCGGCGCAACACTGAGCTACATTGCACGCTGGTACACTGGTGGATGTGGCATCCAGAAAACAATTTCCATGTAGATAAGTGTTCTAAGTAAAATTGCATAGTCGATTGAATAATTGGTAAATATGACTGATAATTGGTAAACAGGACGAGGAGACCAACAGCACCAGTGGCAGGCTGTTGCCAGCAGCTAATGTGCAACTCAAACATCCAACACAAGTAATTATGCGTGAAATTATAAAATTAAATGAAAATTCACTGTTATGCATTCAAACATAAGAATTAAGAGTGAATGTGCAAATATTTACCTTCATCCTTTCGCGTATCCAATCAACGTAGCTGGTGACCCTCGTGAAAACAGATGGCCGCGTTGCATTGCCACAACCTTCATTGTCTCCAAACGATGTGATTCCCACAACCACATCAACGTCAGGATTTCCAGCAGTGATGTTTCCATTGGGAGCAAACGGGAGTAGCAGAGGTCCACCACTGTCGCCTGCAGCAATCGAACATGGCACCAATGGAGTCACTGTAGTGGCTGCTGATGGTATGTAATGCTAACTGAGATAAGCAGATTTGCAACATAGTTCAATTTCCGCTTTTGAACACTGCGACCTTGTAAATTGCCATTTTATCGTTCCACATTACTCCTACATTGCATAAATAGTCTGTCTTGGAAGAGAAAAAAGAACTGACAGTTTCGTGAGCAGCCAGTCCAAAATATTGTGTGATGGAGTGTGACGGAGCAGCCCACCTCCACAAACTCCCCCTCCAAACGCTCCAGCCGCGCAAACCATTGAGTCCTGAATCAAGTCTCCCCAAAAGTCCTCCTCTCCACAGATGCTGTTCCCAATGATGTCGACGCTCGACGTCTGCTGCAGATCATCAGGACTGGTCCCGTCCTCTTGGAGCCCCCAACCCAAGGCCAGAAAAGTCTGCCCTGCCTGCAACGACTTTGCTTTAGCACATCTACTAGCAGAACGGCACCACAATATGCGACAGATAGACCAAATGCAGGAGATGCACATCCCCACCTGAAGCACTGGAGTTTGGAATAAAATTCCTTCGGGGCAGAATTGCTACAAAGCTGAAGGAATGAGCTTGGAAAAATTGCAACTACTACGACCAACCAATCTTTGGCATACTCATATGGTGCCATGAATATTAGCATCTGCAATAAGCACAGTGTGATATTCTTTCCAACCATGGAATTACCGCCACGTGTTGCACGTTGTACAGTGAACGACTAACTGGTCATTTCATTGCTATTAAAATGTGCTCCCTTTATTGAACCGAAAAGAGGTCTGCTGCTTTGAGGGATGCAGCAGTTTGCGTACCCACAAGTAACTTATGTTGATCCCATAGTGTCTGTGAAGCGTAGTCCCAGACTCGCTCAATCGGCCAATATGATGATTTTGCATTGATCCCCCATGGCCTTGTTGCATTCCCTTTTATTTTAGTCCAAGCATACCTTATCAACTATCAGTTTTACTTCACTTTGTGTTGCAATGGTTTGCTCTACTTACTCGTTTGCTCATTTACTAGAAGCACCAGTAGTGTATTTCGGGTCCAGGGCGCAATGACAATTAGGGACTGCAATTTTGGCATAAAGGCTGTGGGGCTAGTAGGGCCAGGTATTCTTGGTAACCCGTAGGCTCATTGCATTAACCTCTGGGGCCAGGATAGGCTAGAACAATAGGGCTAGATGGCCCCTACTTGACCCCACCTGGACAGCGTCATTGCTGGTGGGGAGTTGGACGGGTGCGTGCTTGGATTTCTTCTTCAACTTCAGTAGCGCAATGTCATTGCCGTCTTCAACATTGCCTGTCCAGCCTTCGTGGATGATCGTCCTTGCTGCAATGAAAACCTGCAAAGAGTGCGCCACAGCATTTCTTGAGGACACAGCTTCAAGCCGTTCCACTCATTGAACCGTTATTGCAACTTTCCATCAACATCAGAAATGCTAATTCTGCTCACAGTGAAACCAGATGCGGTGGTGCTATATGAAGAAGTGTGTAATAGATCAGGCGCTCCTACGCGAGGTGGCGCATTACCCATTCATCGGGCATGTCGTTTATTTTGCTTCCTTTTCTGTGAGCCAAGCAATCCAAAGGTAAGCCCCATTGGCTCATGTGCCACTGGAGGCCATGCAGTGGCCCTGTACTATCAACAGGTCGCCAATGCATCCTCGAAGAAATCAAAATACTCATAAGCCCTGTGAATTACTACCGCTTCCCGTTTTCGCCCTTTAAACAACTTGTATCTAATATATCCTTATAAAAACGGAAAAAACCCACATTGCCTGCGTTCGGAAATTTGGTAGACGTTGATGCAACATTCAGAGGCCCTTGGAACAACGCCGGTCTGCAGACACGAGCTCTGAAGGTTAGCATTCATCCAAGGGCCCATCAATGTTGCATCGCAGTCCAACAATCTTCAACTGTATCTCAGGGCTGATAAACGGGATTACTGATGCAGCATTGCCGCAACACAGCTGGTTGGGGATGTTGCATCAAGATGCCTTGTTGGAGGGTTTGGTAAACACCGACGCCATAGAGCCATTGTTTCAAGTGCAGTTCACCGACGCTGATGATAATTGCTTCAATGGCCACTTTGCATCAGCCCCCATCAACACTGTATCAACGCCCATCAAATTCCGGATGTGTGTGTATTATACACTTCCCCGTTTTCGCTGATCAAAATCCCACATCTAGCATATATCTTCACAAAAGGTAAATGCTCACATCTCCTGTGCGAATCCCTACCACTTGACCTCTTCCGTTGTTTAAAACACTCACATGTATTATATGTTTCCATAGCCAAGGAAAATCATATCTCCTGCAATGTGAATTACCTCCACTTCCCCATTTTCGTTGTCCTTGTCCCTCAGCCCACACGCCCCGATGACAATGACAGCGGTGGCGCCCACCGACCGGGGGGCATTGGGGTCCACGCAGTGCGCGGCGGTCAGCACAAATTTCTTGTCCACCAGGACGCCTCCGCAGAGGTGCACGTCCGTCCTGTCGCGCAGGGACACCATGTATGGAAATCTGCCGCAGAGCGCATTTTGGCCTCCCTGCGGCAACGGAACACATACACACTGGCGAAACAACATTTTCCCTGTCAAAGCATCTCAATGCATGTGCGGATCGAGCAAATACTGCTTTGACTAGTTTCAAAGTAGTACGTTCAAGGATTAGAAGATTGATTTGGGGAAAGTGGTGCATGGCTCAGCACTTTACAGTACGCGATTGCACCATTGTAGTGAAGGGGTGCTTCACGATGAAATGTTGCTACAGATACATTGTTCTAGAGTGCTAAAACACGATTGGCTGCAAGCCGTGCTTAAGCAGGTCCATGTCGTGTAATATTAACCGCACTTACTGTGAGCATTTCGCAATCGTTGTTCTTCAGGTACCCAGCTATTTGTGGGCCCCTGTTACCTTCTGTTCTGAATTCTTTGCGCCCTGCTGCGCGCTGACCTCACATAATCCTGTCACGTATGTTGATGAGCATACGTTTGATGAGGTTAAAACATAAAGAAAAACATTTTGAACATCTATTGGAAACTTAAAGGAAGGGGTTAAAAAGCAGCAAAAATCAATTAAACATGACCAAGAACGTTCCTCCTACCGCTATGGTGGCCACTGCAGTGGGCCTCTCCGGAGGCGCCGGGGCGCCACCCCCGTCCCCCTCCTGCCGCAGGCGCCTCCCCGCTTGATCTCCGAGTAACGCCGCCGCGTAACCCGACGCGTCTGCGGCGCAAAAAAAGTGCGAGTCACGCAATTCGCGATTCGATGTTAATCCCTCCAACAAACTGGACCCACTCCTGGCAAGCTGCGAGGGAGCCGCGGGGCGCCCCGAATCGGCGCGCTGGGAGAAAGCGCGACGGTTCAGCGCCGGCTGGGCCGGCGGCACAAGGCCCTCCGAGTCACACGTCCGCCGGGTTGCTGCCGTGGCGAATGCAACTCAATTGGTGCGTCAACGAGCAAGCATGTCAACGGGTTAGCAGGCAACGGGTCAGTATGTGTACCGGTCCGCACAGCCTTAGCCCTTGGGTTCCCCGCCCCCCGTTACCCCTTCGCCTTCATCGGCCATCGCGCGGGAACGCCGAAGCCGGGGCCTCGCTGGGATGCACGCAGCCAGCGCTGGAAGGGTCGCGCCGGTCGTGACTCGTGCCGCTTGGCAGGGCCCTCTGGCGCGCCCAGGTTGGCCAAGATCATGGGCCGGACTCGACGGCCCCTGATCTTGACAATTACCTTGAAAAAATTGGCCCGGAACCTCCCCCCAATTCCTCCCTTTCGCCCCGGAGATTCTGCATCGTCTTCTCACAGAATAGCATAGAGCCTCGCATGCGCTCGCTTAGCGGGGGGTGCCCTTGGCATGACCTGTTTCTCTTGTCTTTGTAACAAACCTGAGTCCCACCCCTCCCCCTTTTACACCGAGAGAACTCCACATCGTCTTTTCACCGCAAGGCAGAGAGTCTCACAGGCACCTGCTCAGGAGGCGGTGCCCTTCGTCTGAACCATTTCTTTTTCTGTTGTCTTTGTAACAAGCCCCCCCCCCCCCCCCCAACACACACCTCTGTTGGATGGGAATGCACCTTTGGAGTGCGCGGCGGCCTCGAGTGTGGCCAGCAGGAGGGCCGCCAGGAGGGCGGCGGCGCGGCGGCGCGTTGACCGGGTCAACGTCAGCGTTGACCCAGGCGGCGGCATTCTGTCGATTATGCTTGCTGGGTGGGCGGCGAGGGTGGGCGGACGGGGGGGCTCAGCGTGGCGCGGGCCAGGTCGCGGGGAACTTGGGGATTGGAGAGCCGAGTGCACCGCGCGTTCGCCGTCATGCCCACGAGGCGCGTGGTAAATCGTTGCGTAATACGACGCGAGGCTGTTTTCATTGCGAATGCACACAAGGCGCATGGGTAAAATATCCGACATAAAATGGCGGCCAACAGGTTCGTTACTTGTAATATGGCGGCCAACCAAAATTGTTGCAATTTTTCGCTGGCTGTCTGTCTTCGTTGACTACATTTTCGCCTTCTTCGCAGCATTTTCGGCTCTGACCTCCCCTTGTCATCCAAAACGCCACCCTTGCTTTGGAATCAAAGCCACTCAGGGGACCCCTCGTCCCCCAAATGCAGTATTGAGAATTGCTGGATTGCATCGGGGATCCTCACCTATTCCAATGTTTGTTCCTGTGTTGCGTTTGCAACGGGACCAAGGGCAACCAGCCATTCTCTTTGGCTCGTACAACGGGAGGGGTGAGACCGCAACAGCTCCGAGGGGCCGTGCAATGACATACGTCAGCATGTCATTTG